TTCGGGTTCGGCTTGGTATTGGTGTTCCTGAGTGTTTTCAACTACCTCATTGACGCATACACGATTTATGCCGCATCGGTGCTGGCGGCGAACTCGGCTCTCCGGTCTTTGCTCGGCTTTGCATTCCCGTTGTTCACGACCTACATGTACGAAAACCTCGGTATCCATTGGGCTTCCTCAATCCCCGCGTTCCTGTCGCTTGCGTGCCTCCCTTTTCCCATCGTCTTTTATCTGTATGGTGCCCGCATCCGCAAGCGCTGCCTCTATGCTGCCCAGGCAGAGGCGTTCATGCAGAGACTTGCCGCTGCGGCGCAGCAAAGCCCGGCTCCTCTACCCAAGTCTGACGTGGAGAAGGGGGAATCTGCCGCTGGAGCTGATAATAGTGTCAGCGACGATAGTGACAGTGACAGCCTTTCCAGTATGCCTTCTAGGGGTGCAATGGAACGGCGGGCGTCGCGTGCTTCCAGGAAATCCACTCACTCTCTTGCTCGTACAGTCACATACGAGGAGAATCCGTACGATATTGATCGAGTCAATACGTGCAACTCTACTATCAGCGGCCGTCCTAGGAAGAATTCAACCAAGGCATGAGGTCGTGCTCCACACTTGAGCCTGTGGTGCAATATCACACAAATACTCTCAGGGCACCATCATAAATGTGATGCCAATCCGTCCAGCTAGATATCAGTTTTGTACTTTGTATGCACTTACTAAAAGTGCGAATGGGTACGTTCGCGAGAAAACGATATGCTGGTAAAGCCGCAGCTTATACGTGAGGCCCTACAGCAAAGGGCTGTATCCTTCGCGGCGTACACGTGGATACGACAACTGAGCCGTGATGAGAATCGTTTAACTGGCTACAGCATGGTAGCTAGGGCATTATTCTTGAGCGAGGTTGATTATAACCTCCATGAAGAGGTCGATGGGGTTCATCTTCCAAGTCGCGAATTTGCATTGGCGCAGGACTATTCTACTATCTCGGCGTTCTGATTACACATTGATATACCTTCTATATAGAGACATAGAATAATGTTAATGACATAGACCATAGACGAAAACCATCCCCTAGTATGCAGCAATTTCCTCAGCACCAACACTGTTCCTGACCGTGAGAGAGACCGGATCCCCAGCCGCAGACACTTCGTTCACTGCCAGACCCTTTCGTTCACTGTGAAGCGGAGACATGCAGAAGCACAAGCGGAGACATTCCACAACAGTATGAAATGCCTTCCGAGGGAGTTCGGAGGGAGTTCGCATCCGCCATATCAGAAAGGCGGATAGTAACGACAGAAGGACAACAGTTCACATACTCTCATCTTCAATCCGTCAACACGTGTTTTTGGATTCACTTCCTCACCCCGCCAGACAGTCACTTTGCACAGACACGCACGCAGCCAATTTCCTTCGATGCATGGCTCCAATCATGGAAGATAAGTGCTACTTTCTTCTTCTTTCCCTTCTCCTCCTTCTTCTCACCCTGTCATATCTACCTAGCTTACCCCCATCTTACCACTCATCAGAAAATCATACTACCGAGCCGCCATCATGTCCTACGGATATAGATACGGCTCGACAGACACCACCACCACCATCAACATCAGAAGCAGCACACCCTGCATTCTGTTCCTGACAAACAGCGAGCGCGAGCATTCAAGCGTTATCCTCGCCGTAGCTCATGAATTTCTCATTGGCAATACGCCTTACAAGATCCATATTGGATCATTTGGACCGCTCAAGAGACATGTTTCAGACTTGAATTACTATGCTGCGGCTTCGGAGTCTCCCTTTGCTACTGAGGCAGCTTTTGAGGAGATCCCTGGAATGTCTATGAAACATGTTCGCATGAGAGATGGACAGTTTGATGACATCCCGCAGATTGGTTTCTTTGCTGCGTTGAGGAACTATCGCAAGGATTTGGCTCTAGGTTTGATGCCTTGGACCGGTAGGGACTATATTGAGATCTTCAATGGCGTTGTGGATCTTGTGAAAACCCTTGGCCCTGTTTTGATCGTCGTCGATCCGCTTTTTGCTCCTGCTGTCGACGTCTGTCGGTACTTGCGTTGGAGACATGTCCTGTTGGGAAAGGGTGGGGTCAAGGATTATGTGGTGAAGTGGAAGTTGAGTGATTTGATGAAGTATCCAATGTGAGTTTTTGAGTGGTTTTTCTCTGGCCTGGCTTGTGGGGGTTGTTTGCTGACTATGGTAGGATTTGTTCTGGCTTCAAAATGCCCATGTCCATCTGGGATAAGCTTCGCAACCTCTTCCTGGGTTTCCTGTTCAAGCACGAACTTGACAAATGCGAAAGTCTCAAGGAGCTCAATGAGGCCCGTGAAGTTCGCGGAATTGAGGGCCCTCTTCCTTTCATGTCCCACGAGGCAAAGAAGAGTAGCCGTGTCATCATTCCTTCTTGGCCTGAGACTGACTTCCCACTCATTGTGCCTGAGCACATGACTCTCTGTGGCCCTATTCTTCGCCGCTATCGCCCTATGGTGAAGGAAGATCCTGAGTTGGAGCATTGGCTTTCAAAACGTCCTACTGTGCTGGTCCTGATGGACGCCCGCTTCACTTACGAGGGCAAGCAGCAGATTGAAATTGCCAAGGCCCTGAACATGCTTCTCGAGCAAGAGCTCAACATCCAAGTCCTGTGGAAGCTGAAGCACGTCGATGATCCTGCCGTGACTAGAGAGATCGTCAAGCTCTTGGGGGTGTACATACACGGGAAGCGTATGCGCATTATGAAACATTTTGTGTTCGAGACGATGTCACTTCTTATGAGTGGACATGTCAGTTGTGTGGTGAATTATGGCGGAGCTAATGCGTTCCATGAGGCTGTCAGGTATGTTTGTTTGATCTACGGCTATGCATTCTTTCGCATTGTACCTGCGGTGGGACGAATGCAAGATGTGCTAACACCGAGATCCACTAGGGCTGAGGTTCCGCAGATCGTGCTCCCGGTCTGGTTTGATGCGTACGACTTTGCTGCACGGGTTGAGTACCTGGGAATCGGCATCTGGGGTAGCCGCAGGTCGGCGCCGGGTGTGAGTGGGGAGGAGCTGGGCAATGCGCTGCTGCGTGTGATGGCCGACACTGACGAATCCTATGCAATGCGCATGCGCGCCATACAGGTCTCCGGGCAGCTGCCGTTCAAGGATGGACGCGTCGTCGCATACGAGAAACTTCTCGAGGTGCTGAGCCAACCCTGGGCGCCTCCTCACACTCGGATCCGCGGTTGAAGATGAATGACATGACATTGGTCATTGGCGTTCCTTTCCTTGAGTCGGAAGAGAACAACAAAAGTGCATTTAAAGCAAGCGATGAATTTGATCTGGGTGAAGATACAGCCAACTAACTACGGTGTACTTACTTAGTTGACAGGTTGACTCGTTACTTACTAGTTAAGTTAATAGTTAATAGTTAATTAAAATGGCGATGACTCCGCCGGCGGGGCCATCCGGTCTTCGGCTTTGAACAGATAGCGAACCGCGACTGTTCGGGCTGTCGAATTGACCGAAGCTGGTCCACTGAAGCTTAGCATGTTATCCAGTTCCACTCAATCATGAAGAACTTCCATTAAACCGTCTCCAATCAGTACTAGTAAGCTTGACTCAACTGCCGTATCCAATAGAACCACCCGTGGAATGACGGCTAAACATTGAACCCCTCTCCCCGCATCGCATCCGGTTTCGCCCTGCTTTCATTCATCTGTATTTAATCCAGCTTTCTCCCCAGCTTCACTATCCCACTTAACAATAATTCCCACAATTCATCCATCCCTTCCAATCCCTCTCTTCTCACCACAAACCCCACCACCACAATGGCCAACGAACGTATCACCTGGATCGGCCTGGGCAACATTGGCCGCGTAAGTGCCCCTCCATGTGCCCCTCATTGCATCATTACTAACAACCAATTCAGGCCATGGCAGCCAACATCGCCCAAAAAGGTCCCCAAACAGCCCCCATAACCCTCTACAACCGCACAACCAGCAAAGCGACGACCTTCGCATCCACCCTCCCCGCTGACAAAGCCACCGTCAGCACGACCCTCTCCTCCGCCATCTCCAACTCGACCATAATCTTCATCTGCGTCGGCGACGACGCCGCCCTGGAAGCCATCATCTCAGGCCTCCCGACAGACTCCCTCTCCTCCAAGATCATCGTCGACTGCTCGACCGTGCACCCAGACACCTCGCGCAAGATCCACAGCCAACTCGCCTCGCACGGCGCCTCCTTCATCGCCTGTCCCGTATTCGGCGCTCCCGCAGCCGCCATCTCGGGCCAACTCGTCGTCGTGCCCGCCGGTGACGCCGCCGCCATTGAGCGCATCAAGCCCTTCCTGGATGGAGTTACTTCCAAAGCGACGATCTCCATGGCGGGCGAGGATGTGGGCCGCGCCACGACGCTGAAGATCCTCGGCAATACGTTTATCTTGAATACCGTGGAGACTGTGGCGGAGGGGTTGGTTACGGCGGAGAAGACCGGGTTGGGGGTGGATGTGTATCAGCAGTTCTTGCATACGTTTTTCCCTGGCCCGTTTGCGTTGTATGCGGATCGCATGGTTACTGGGGATTATTGTCGGAGGGAGGAGCCGTTGTTTGCGGTGGATTTGGCTAGGAAGGATTTGAGACATGCTAGTAATCTGGCTGGGGAGGCGGGGGTTAGGTTGAGGAGTGTGGAGGTTACGGATCATCATTTGGTTACTGTTAAGGAGGAGAAGGGGGTGAAGGGGGATGTGGCGGCGGTTTATGGGTCTGTTAGGAAGGAGGCGGGGTTGCCGTTTGATAATTAGATAGGTATGGGTGTATTTTTGGGGATTATGGTATGTAGAAAATAGCAATAGATTCAAACTAAGCAACTAATTTAACGAGTTGGGTATAGTTGGGTATAGTTCTTTGGGGCTATGGGTTGTTTCGAGCGAATGATGAGCAATGTGATCCAGAAACAATATAGCCGTTAAGCAAATGAGCGAGTGACTATAAGGTAGTAAAGTAGCAGTACTCCTTAACCCTTCTTTGAACTTGAAACCTCTACCTCCCCCCGATATTTCGAGATCGCGAGCAACGTCTCCAACAGTGCTTTCTGCGCCTCCATTTCAATCAACTGGCTTCGCGCATTTTCCAGTAAAATCTCCAACTGCTTCAGAAGGTTCTTCAACACTCCTACCTCCATGACCACCCCTCTAGCGGCGTGAACTTCGAGATTCTCGAACTCGCGCCAGAGAGTGGACGGGTCCCCGTTGCTGCCACTGCTACTGCTGCCGCCTTGCTCTTCTGGAGGAACCGCCCGACTCGATAACACTTCGCCTTCTTCGGGCTCAAACATCTTGCGGATCAAGCGTAGCTCTTTGGCTGCGGATGCCACGGCAGACTTTGCAGTGAGGATTTGACTGGGGTTCGTGGTTGGAGTGGAGGTTGAGGTGGGCGGAGGTGGGTTGGGGCCCGGGGGTGCTTGTGCCTCTGCATCTTGACCGATGGAACCAGACTGGCTCGAGGGATCTTCATCGAAACTGATTTCAAATGCAGTTTGAACTGATTGGGGCGGCTGCGGTGCTGGCTGTGGCCCTGACTGAGGACCTGGCTGCGGTCCCGGCTGAGGTCCTGGTTGGGGTCCTGGTTGAGGTCCCGGTTGGGGTCCAGGCTGAGGTCCCGGTTGAGGACCTGGCTGAGGACCTGGCTGCGGCCCAGGCTGGGGTGAGGGGGGTGGTGTGGGAAGAGGAGTTGGGCGTGGATTCATCGTGAGCTTTGTTCTCGGTATCGTGCTGGACTGTGGATGGAAGTAGTAGTATCGGAGGGCATATGAAGTTGGATAGACACGACAAGAGCTGGAAAAGACACATCGCATATTTCTCGCCGCGAGTGTCCAACTCATGATGATGTATGAGCGTACAACCTGAGAAAATAATCATCATGTATAGTCGTCATCTCCGTGCCAAAGCGCTCAATTAACCACGGATACCCGGGTCTTCGCGTAGACGGGAGCAGAATGACATGAAAATGAAAATCAAAATTTGACATTTTTGGGTCGAGCTCTAAGCTCCTGCGAGACGGCTTGCAGATTTTGAGGCGATGACCGCATGGTTTGTACATAGAAGTTGCCATGGCATGAGTGTTCGGTGGCATCTTCAAGTCTGGACCTTAGGAGGACCTCTGCCCCAGGTTTGGGACAGGGTTGTTAGGCCTAGCTGACTGACTGAATTACATGTCAGAGTCCCATCTGCAAAAGGAGGAAAATTGACTCACTTTTGCCAATACGACGTGTTGTAGAGAATCGTGATGCTTCTTACTTCTTACTTCGCCAAACCTGATGTTGAACGACTGGATACAGAAAGAGTATAGGAGCCAGTATCTCTAGTTGTTCAGGCCCTATGTTGCTATTAGTTGAATGTGAATCCCTTACGGGTATGTTCAACTTTTAGGGATGAGGTTGTACTACTTGAGGCCGAGGACTGGGTTGTAAGTCATACATGACTCGAGCATTAATGCTGTGATGATTTGACTTCTAGATAGCTCAGAATCATCACTGAGCAACGAAAGTTTCACTGGACATGAAAATAGCAGTACTCACAGTTGAGCCCTCCCGCATGCTGATCTTCGGGCTGACTCGGGATCATCTATATATAGTATATAGATCGGAGAAGAACTTACCAGCACCGTGCAGGTCATTGAACTGGCAATTGGCTCCTCCAATGAAGACTAAGCGGAATTGAAGCACCCGGGTAAGGTCGATCATTTTAGTCGAAACGTCTTTCTGACATAGAAAGGGCCATTTCTCAGTCACAGGTCACTATGCGGTTGCGACCCGACAATCACCCGCGACTCTATTCAAGTTGATGCTGTGTCCCAAATCGGGTAACAGTAACTAACAGTGAAAAGAAAGAGTGGGAAATAGTCGTAATCCGAGCCGAGATATACCTAGAACTGTTGAAATCCCAGACGGTGGATGTTTGGAGGTTGACTGCATACCAGGGAAGGAACGGATCACGGGACAGTCCCCGTGAATGCGAGTTTCATCAGTCCTGCAGACTTCCGTCTCTCGTTGAATCCTTGTGCCATCCACATGAGACTTTTGCTTCTCCCGATAAAGAACATTGCGTGGTTTTGACTTCGTGAGTTATGGCGAATACTCAGTATCCTGACTCGGGAGTTAATTATCTGCCACAGACCTAAAAGATTCGCACACAAGAATCGGCCTCGCCACCCTCTAATTACACTTTGCTATTGAATAGCAAGGCCCACTGTGGCTGCAGCAAGTGGCGGGATGTACATTGCATGGAAAGACTGCCTGCAGCCTGCAGTTCTCAATCTCCATCTGCTGATAAGGCGAGATTTCGAAGAGAACACCAACGGAAGGAATCGTGCAGCGCCGCATATCCGCAGCAAAATCAACGCATCATAGCGGAACATAACCCCAAATTTTGGTATATCGGAATCTGAATAAGCTTCTAGCCCGTGGTCCCGAACCCACCCGAGGCAATAATCTCACCAGCTGTCACCAATCGATTAGGCTCCCATAGGGAGATCGCCGTTAAGAGTGGGTAGAATCCCCAAGGACTACTGTCCAAACTTCGATGCCGTCGGGCTAGAACTGAGCCCGGGGCTGCGGAAATCTGATCAACTCTAACCGCTTGACCTCGGCCGGACAATAAGCTTTCTAGCAACCTCTATTTTGGTGCAGCTCCATTTGCGTATTCGGTCTATATGTTAACTAGGATGTGGACCTGAAGATCCGTATCACGCCTTTGACTTGCCACAACAAGCGATCATATATGCGACGGTTAGTGGACATCCTGGACTTGGGAGGAATGCCGAAGCGTTGACTGGGACGACCGGGTCCAATGCCCCAGCCGATGGGCCAACCGGGAGATCTCCCGCCTTCCGTCCAAATAGTACTGTACTATAATGAGAATCGTCTGCTGAGGTGTCTTCACCAAGCATTTTCGGATCTGAGCTAGGACTGCCAATCCGGATGGTTGATCTACATATTTGGCCAAAACATGCCATGGCTGTGATGCCTTCAGGTATGAGCTCAGTCCTCTGACAAGCCTGTTTCAGGACCGCGCGGAGCTAAGTGGTTGCAGGCTTAACATCGCTACTGCTATTACCATACTCATGGAGCTGCAGAAGAGTAGCTACTAGGTCTCTTCGAAATTACCCCTCCAATTGTGTAGACCCTACCTTTGAGACTATTTCGGCCTTATTTTAGTTGATCACCTAATAACGACCAATGCTTGGAGGCATCCACCAGTGGATACTGGATTTGGTCTCGAACTGTGGCTGCATATATTCGACAATAGAGGGAATTAATTTCGGTTTGTCCCAGCTATTTTGGGATCAAAGCCACGCGATCATACTGTAATGGTTTCCCGGGGAGCAGTTACCTTATGGGATCTGATTACTGTTCCTGATTCCTGAAATGATATGTCGATCTGCGAATGACAAAAGGAGAACCGGGTCAGGGACCTCTGCGCCATGGTGGATCATGTGGGGAATATTGAAGCACTGCCCAGAGAATAGTTTCTACGGGATAAGGCTTATTCTCCATCCTAATGGGGCAGACGTTGATAAGGAGCAGAGGCGAATTGGTCACGCAAGGAATCCATTACAGTCGTCGGTGCTACTACCCCTGCCTATGTTAGATGATCCGTCTTACGCCTATTGTATCCACAACAATCCGCCTTGGGCGAATTTTGCGACAGGTAATCCCAAAATCAGAGAAAGGGAGCCACGAGAGACCCACGGAACGGACAGCAAGGGCCGGAATGCCAGACTCATCTACTGTCTGGACGCGCGTTGTCTGCAATGATCTACTCAATTTACCTGGTTTGGCTGTCTTCCCAGCGTGGCTGTCAAGCTACTTATTGCCTTGGTTGTCTGTTGGAAATCATGTCGAAAATCATCTGGTGCCATTGTCCCTGATCTTCCAGCTGCTCTTACTATTCCCGTGTAACCACCCCCATCATTAACATGCCTACGGCGCCACCCGGGGATGTTGACTACTCCGCCGCTCTGAGCCAGGAAACTAGCCTGGAGAGTGCTGATACGATCTATGTGGAGAAAGACATTGTGCACGTTGAAGAAGGAGAAATCACATCACAAGATGGTGCATTGGAATCGGACGAACCCCAAGACAAGGACGACCTCGTTGTGGATTGGGACGGGCCAGACGACCCCCAGAACCCCATGAACTGGACCACCTTGCGGAAATGGGTCATTATCGGGTTGATATCTTTGAGCAGCTTCAATGTGTAAGTCCAACATGTCTACGCTAGACCATGCCTCCGTACGAGCATCTGAACTGACTGTCGTAGATCCATGGTATCCACGGTCTTCGCTCCCGGCGTTCCGCAAGTCCTGAAAGAGTTCAATGTTCACAACCCATCCATTTCATCTCTTATGATATCGATCTACGTGATGGGTTCTGCTCTTGGCCCTCTGGTGCTGACACCTCTCACTGAGATAAGTGGAAGGCTTCCCATCACACACCTGGCCAATGTACTATTTTCACTGGCTGCAGTTGTTTGCGCTGCCAGTGTGAACATATCAATGCTCATAATGGCACGCTTCGTTATGGGAATAGCCAGTTCCGTGCCTGTGACGGTCGGTGGAGGCTTCGTTGCGGATATGATACCCATGGAGAAGAGAGGGACGGCAATGACGATCTGGACAGTTGGTCCACTCATGGTGAGTTAATCTACCCATTAGCGGATATATAATGCGGATCTAACAATACGTTAGGGCATGGTCACAGGACCTATTTATGGTGGCTACATCGTCCAAAACATTGGATGGCGCTGGACCATCTGGGTAGAGGCGATTCTTGTAAGTTAACTCGATCCCGTGGTGTTGGACGAATCTCTAATATGATTAGGGCGGTATCATCGTGATTGCTTCCCTGATATTCTTGCGGGAGACATATGCACCCACGCTGCTCCAGCGAAAAGCGAAGCGACTCCAAAAAGAGACTGGACGTCCGTTTCGAACTCAGTACGACATAGATAAGACAATTGGCCAGATTATCTGGATATCAATCAGCCGCCCGATCAAGTTTCTGTTCTTGTCACCCATCGTTATGATCGTTTCATTGTACAGCTCCATCACTTACAGCTATATGTATACACTATTCACGACGTTTACGAGCGTCTTCGAAAATGTGTACGGCTTTACTCCTGGAGAAGCAGGTCTCGGCTACCTGGGACTAGGTCTCGGGTTCTGTTCTGGACAAGTCGTTGTGGGTTACTATTCCGATCGATACCTCAAGAAGCAGGAAAAGATCCATGGCAAGATGAAGCCCGAAGATCGTCTTCCACCTTTAGTGGTGGGATGCATTCTCGTCCCGATCGGTCTCTTTTGGTACGGCTGGGCCGCAGAATACCGGTTGCACTGGATGGTTCCCATTGCGGGTACCTTTTTAGTGGGCGCAGGCATCTTCTTTGTTCATCTGGTCACACAGGTGTATCTGATTGACTCATATACTCTCTATGCTGCCAGCGCGGTATCAGCGGAGCTGGCTCTGCGATGCCTCTTTGGGGCTACGATCCCGTTGGCGGGCACTCCTTTGTACGATGCCCTCGGACTAGGATGGGGAAACAGTCTGCTCGCGTTTATTGCACTTTTGTTTGTCCCGGCTTCACTTTTCTTACTCAAGTATGGTGAGAGAATCCGGACGAATCCGAAGTTTCAGCCGCGGATGACATGATTTTTGTTTATTTGGCCACTACTGTGAGCATAGCGATGGCGTTTGGTTAGCGTTGGATTTTTACGATTATTGATGTTTATGTTTCAACCTGCACGGACATACTCAACACCGAAGTGATAATGTGCAGCACGGAGGACTTGGGTTATCCAATACTATGTTACATATCGCTGTCTTTGTTCCCTCAATACAAAGGTAAATACTGCAAATGCCTACAAGGATTACACCTCCGAGAAGAACCAATGCTTCAAGAGAAAGCCTACATTGATCTTACAAACAACAACGGTAATTAAATAGGAAAAGCATCAACTCAGGCAAACTACTATTGAACAGTCAAAATCGTCGACCATAATAAGCAGCCTCATAAATACAAATTAAACACAAACATATATCAACTGGCCTGCTGGCCCAATGGTAAGGCGCTTGACTACGGATCAAGAGATTGCAGGTTCGAATCCTGCGTAGGTCAATTTTTTGCTTTTTCCCCCTCGCGCCTTCCCTTCCTTCCCTCTTTCCCCTCAGACAAGAATGCGCCTCATTTCTCGACTACTTTTTTGTTGTACCATCACAATGACAAGCACGACATTAAACCACAATCGGAATTATCCGAACAGACCTCATGACCCAATTATACTTAATTGACTGAGTCGGACTTGGGAATTGTTGGGTTCGTTTTCATCCCTACCGCGTAACCCTACCTTACCTACTTTCCTCACCCTACCGGAGTAGACCAAACACATGGACTGACCTGAACTCATCCCTGAGACCTGGGTTAAATCCCCAAGACATGAGAGAGACAATACCTTACCTACTACTACTCATATCTCTATCAATTATAGTGACTCCGTACCCAAACTCTATAATTGAGCCAAGCACAAACAAGCCTTCTTCCAAAAGAAGGGGGTGGGTTAAATAGAAAGACAGGATTGTGTTCACTCCCCCCTGCCGGCAGCCCATACAACCAACTACTAGTAGTCTAGTAGATACGAGATAGATAGATAGACTGTCAGACAAAGGAATGCAGGGCATCGCGTCCCCTCGCCCACCCACCCACCAAATCAAGGGGCAGGGTGGGAGGGAAGGATGGGATACTGACGCGTAGCATGCCAGATATCTACCTACTACGTACATTACCGAGAATCGTGGATTTAATAGCGGGTATTATTCCCGTTCCCTCCTACTGAGTATTCTTTCCTTCTTTCCTTCGTTCTTTCTTGCAGGCGTTCATTCATTCATTCATTCATCCACTTTGGATCTCATATCCCACGCAGAAGCAGAGAACAAAACAAAGACAATGAAGTTCCTCGCCCTCGCTGTGCCCGCTACCCTTGTCATGGGCGTAGTGGCGATGCCGACTCCTGTACGTTTATCTCAAAATCCAAACAGTATACAACCATAGATGGTGAAGGTGAAGCTAACTTGGAAATCCACACCGACCAGTCCACAAGCAAAGCGGCGCGTCTTTCAGGCGAGAACCTCCTCGACGGATTAGCCAAGGATGGTGGGCTCTCTGGGTTCTTGTCTGGCGTGCACCTTCCCTTCCTGAATCCTAGTCCGAAGAAGGATAGCGAGGACCCCAGTGATGAGGATCCTGATGATGTTCCGGCTGGTGATGATAAGGGACCTGGTGCTGATGAGGATAGTGGTCCTGCTGAAGCGGCTGCTCCTGGTAATTATGATACCAGGAGTGTTGATGATGGACCCGGTTCGGTGGATGTTGCTGTAGGGGCTGCTCCTTATAACCCCGGGCGTGGTAGTGGTGGTGGTGGTGGTGGTGATGGAGATCCTGTTTCTTTGGATGTTGCTGTAGGGGCTGCTCCCAACCGAAATGGTCCGGCTGATGGAATTGATGATGGGGCGGCTCCTGATGATGATAATAACGGGGATGGCCCGGCTGATGCTATCTATGGGCCTGAGGATTCGGCGGGTGTTGGAGCTGGAGTGCAGGATGGGACTAAAACACAGTAAGGCTTGGGGGTGTATGGAAGCGGGGGTATGAGATGATGAATGATTGATGCAGTTACAGGGCTCGGGTTTTTCTGCGGATGATTTTCTGAGTTGATTTCTGTTTGTCCTAATGGTAGCTAACTATAACAATATCGTATCACACGCGCAATCGGTTTGAGAAAAAAAGGATTCACGCCAGTCATTATCGGTTGGTTTCATGAGTCGTAGTCGTAACGAGCGTCGCCAATCGTCAAGTATCGTCATATAGGTGTTCAACGAAGGGTATCAGGTTTGTGTCACACATGTCGTAAAAAAAAAAGTAAAAGTAAGAAAGCGCATTAATCCTCCATGTCCAAGTCGTCCACTTCCACACGCGTCCCCAGTGCCTGTTTCCCTTCCTTGATCATTGCTTGTAGCTGCCGGTTCAACCGCGCAAGGCTGGCATCCTCTTCACGCTCCATGCGACGCTTCTGCGCCATGTAGCGCTGAGTTTCTACAGACACAGGGCTCTTCCGCGGCTTAGCTGGTGTTGAGAATTGCGATTTCGTCGGCATCGACGGCGCATGCGAAATCAGTGTTCGCTTACCCTGCGACCGCCGACGGGAGTGGGTATGTGCTGGGGTCCGACGATGGACTCGTCTGCGCTGAGAAGGACTGGCTTCGTCCATGAATTCCTCTCGCGCGGACACGATCACCCAACTGTGCTTGAGATCATCTTCTGGATAATGTCCCGGAAAAGGGCTAGAGGAACCCTGTTGCCGCTGAGAAGTGGGCATGCTTTCCTTTTCGATCGATGGGGATGCCAGCTGGGGCTGTGTGTCCTCCGCTGTCATGGTATAGCCTTGCCCACCGCCTGCATAAAACCCTCGGAAAGCTCCGCTCCAACAGAAGTCCCAGACTTTGCCTACCACGCCTAGCACCGCTCGACTCCAGCGGACGGGAGCAGGTTGTGGATAAGCAACAGGAGTCATGACGGCAGGAGCCGCGGTCGCAGTCGCGGTCGTAGTCATCGTCGTGGTCGGAATCGTCATTTTCTCATCGTGACCGGTCGGAGACGCCGCGATCAAAGACGGATCCCAGCGACTGCGTTTACGGCGAATGTCCACGGTTTCGCTGAGAGATTCAACACTGTCATCGAGAGCGAGAGATCGAGCAGGCTTGCGATAACGGTTGGGGCGATAGACTTGATCGACGGAGGTATCCTCCACACCAAGGAGAAGATCGTCGGGGGAGATCACAGAGGCGACATGACTAGAGGGGGTGTCGACATCCAGCCAAGGACGACGATCAACTTCTAGACGGGATCTCTTGCGGTTGGGGATAGAGATCGAACGATACAAAGCCGATGAGGCTGAGGGGGTGGGCGGAACTTGGAATAGCTGTGATGGAGCGCCGGCCAGATCGAGTTGCGGAGGAATGGGGGACTCGAGGAAGAATGGACTGGCTGGCATCCTTCTTCAAGGTGTGGAGACGAGCAGTGGCTGGGAAGGACAGGAGATGCAGGGGGTTGCATACGATGGAGCAAAAGAACGTGGGCGATGGAGATAGTTGTAGAGGTGAGAAAGAAGATGAGGAGGAAAAAGAGAAGAAAGAAGAAAAGAAGAGGAGAAAAAACACGGGATTGTCCCCAACAAGAAGAGCCACCGCCAGCCTCCCTCTTTCTTTCTTTTTTACGTTTCTTCATTCCCCATTACTTTTTATGCTTTTTTTCACCGCAACAATATTCATTACTATGGTTCCTAATTATTTAGTCCACATGAAGTCTAACTACAACTGAGCCTTCCACTCGCGATGGGCCTCCCTCAGCGCATCCTCGCCATCCACCAGCACACACCAACCCTCGCCGCCCACACCACCATCTCCCACCACCGCTGCTGCGAAATGACCATCTAGAAAGTCCAACACACTCTTGTCATACGTGCCTGGCTGGAGCCAGACAGCGGGGATCCCCACACTGTGGGCCTCTTTGAGGAGGGCAAGAGTGACTGGGGGAGGGGTCACGATAGACAAGGAAGTCTGGTCGGGGTTGGGCAAGTCGCGGGGTGATGGGACTGTCTTGTAGGTCTGCGACGGCAGCTCGATCTCCGGGGCGCGAGGGTTGAGGGGAGTAACGGGCAGAGAGTGTTGATGATACCAGGCAAAGACTGCTGGTCAGCCGGCGCAACGGCCTGCAAAGTGATGGCAAAAGGACCTACTCTTGTAGCCAAACTTGCTGCGATCGTTGCTGGCCCCCGCCACGGCAAACTGCGGCGACAGGAAGAAGCGGCGCGCGGCATCCATCGTAGCAGACATCTCGAGATCGTACTAGTGATAGAAGATATATACAGATAGTCTGGAAGGGAGTCGTAGGATGTGATGGTTCATCAAACGGAAGATAGTAGAGGAGGATGACGATGATGTGGGGGGAAGAGAAGATAAAAGATGGGGAAGAGACGCGGAGAAGCCGAGCCTCGATCGCGTCAACTTCTCCTTCCACTTTCTCCTTCCTCCAACTTCTCCCTAATTAATCACCACCCATTCCTTTCGTATTTTCTCTTCTTTTTTATACTATTCTCTAGATTAAATCCAATTCTCTAGTTGTCTGCTTTCCGCTGCTTGCATGCCCCCCTACGTCCCCCGAAAGCGTCTCTCTTCCGAGGATCCGCCCGCCGCAAAACGTCGTCATGCGACGCCTCCCATCGCCGCTGTCATCGAAGACACCGACACCGAATCGTCCCTGAGCGACGTCCCCGAAGAGACAGAAACGCCCCAGGTACCAGATGGATCGGATGAGGAAAGCAGCGACTCCGACGAGGTCGACTGGGAAGACGCCATAGAGTCCAATGCCAACGCCACCCCAGTTACGCCCTCCATCCTTAATCCCGACCAGCACCAGGACCTGGAGTTGACACTAGACAAGAACGAGATCCACCTGACTGATCTACTCGAAGGCAAAAAGGGCCCGTCAAAGATCGAACGCCAGATCCGCATCCAAACCCATTGTCTACATGTGCAATTTCTGCTCCACCACAACGCCATCCGCAATGTCTGGGCCAACGACTCTCAGCTGCACGAGATCTTGCGCCGCAAGCTACCCCAACCCATACACAAGGAGGTTAAGAAATGGCGCATTGCATCCGGTCTCGAGGCTCCAGAGCCGCCTCCTGAGAAGAAGTCGAAGAAAGGAAAAGGGAAACAGCGTCGTCAATCAGAACGGGATTGGGCTGAAGGCTCGTCGCGACTTGAACCTGGTCAACCTGACATGAGCAGCGGTGATCCTATCATCATTCTGCTCAAGGTCCTCGCCGCCTACTGGAAGAGCAAGTTCAAGATCACCGCCCCTGGCCTACGGAAACACGGCTACCGCCCCATGGCTCAGTTGGAGGCTCAGATCAAGTCTTTCCACAAGGACGACCACGATCCCGAAAAGCACGGCGAGAGGATAGCCAGCATTGAAGAGTTCCGTCACGCTGCAGAGAACATGCAGGGCTCTCGAGACGTGGGCGCCCAACTGTTCACGGCTCTGCTGCGTGCGCTCAATATCGAAGCCCGACTGGTAGCCAGTCTGCAGCCCCTTGGCTTCGGCTGGACCAAGAGCGAGACCTATACTACCAAGCCGAGCGCAGACACCGAACCAACGACGGAGAACGCAGAAACTGAAGACGCCATTGACATGGAATCCGATAGCAGTGAGGACGACACAAAGTCCGCCCGCAGCAAATATTTCAGCAAATACGACGAGGACCTACCCTTTCCCATCTACTGGACCGAAGTCGCCTCGCCCATCACCCACCAAATCATCCCCGTCGATCCGCTTATCCTTCGCAACCCCGTCGCCACCACTCCCGAGCTCCAAGCAGCCTTCGAGCCTCGTGGCGGCAAAGCCGAAAAGGCGAAGCAAGTCATCTGCTACGTCGTGGCCTACTCATCCGACAAAACTGCCAAAGACGTGACAACACGCTATCTCCGCCGCCGCACCTGGCCCGGCAAAACCAAAGGCTACCGAATCCCCGTCGAGAAGATCCCCATACCAGGCCGCAAAGGCAAATTCTACGAAATCGACTGGTTCCGCGTAATCCTCCGCGTCTACCAACGCCCTACGCCCCTACGCACCGCCGTCGACGATCTGGAAGACACCAAGGACCTCCTCCCGAACCAACCCGAACGCAAACCCGGCAAAGAAGGCGACACGCTCCAAAGCCTGCGCACATCCACCGAATTCGTCCTCGAACGCTTCCTCCGGCGCGAAGAAGCCCTCAAACCCGGCGCACGCCACGTCCGCACCTTCAAAACAGGCAAAGGCGCCAAAGCCAAAGAAGAGAAAGTCTTTCGGCGCAAAGACGTCCTGAAATGCCTATCCGCCGAAAGCTGGCACAAAGAAGGCCGGCGACCCAAAGAGGGCGAAATGCCCCTAAAACGGGTGCCCATTCGCGCCGTCACTCTCCTCCGCAAACGCGAAGTCGACGAATTCGAGCGCCAGAACGGCGAAAAGCCCAAACAGGGCCTTTACGCTATCCATCAAACGGAATACATCATCCCAGATCCAATCTGCAATGGCGTCATCCCTAAAAACGAATACGGCAACATTGACTGCTTCGTCCCTAGCATGGTGCCCCGCGGCGCGGTCCATATTCCCTGGTCCGGAACCGTGCGCGTATGCAAGAAACTCGGCGTCGATTACGCAGAAGCAGTCACGGGGTTCGAGTTCGGATCGAAGATGGCGGTTCCTGTTATTCAGGGCGTGGTTGTCGCAGAGGAGAACGAGGACCTCGTTAAAGATGCTTGGTTAGCGGATGACGCAGAGAAACGTAAACGGGAGCAGCGCAAAGCCGAGGCACGTATCCTACAGACTTGGCGGAAGTTTCTCTTCGGGTTGCGGATTAAGCAGCGCGTGCAGGAGGAGTACGGTGGTAATGCAGACGAGGGGGTGGATCACGAGCGGGATGCTCATAATCCGTTTACGAATCGTCGTGGTCGGTTACCTGATCAGGATGCTTCTGCTTCTGCATCTGCTCCTGCCCCGGATGAACCCGACGATGAAGTCCATGGTGGCGGGTTCTTACTCCCTGGTGAGGATGAGGAGGGTGCGGATGAAGATCGAGGTGGTGGATTTCTTCTTCCTGGTCAGGATGGAGATGATCATGATGATGGGGGATTAATTGTTGATCATCACGAGCAACAGCACCAACATGTACCGACTGAGCCTGCCACACCGGAGGCTGTTGATGCGGAGATTGCTGATAGTGATGATGAAGAAGGTGACGATGACAATGGCAAGGTGGAGAATCCGATTGCTCTGAGTTCTGACTCGGAAGACCTCTCGTCTCCGGTAGAGATACCGGATTCTGAGGAATCAGATGCAGAGTCCGAGTCGGAATATGAGCCGGTGGCGCCACCGCCGCCGCCGCCGGCAACGACGCGGAGGAGTACGAGAAGGAGTGGTCGTCGATAGATAGTGATTTTTCTGTTAACTTCTGTATGTGTGTATGACTGTCTGTATGTTATCATGTCTGGCGTTGGTGGTATGTAATTGGCATAGGGACGGAGGTACTGGATGATGATAATGACAATGATAGGGATGGCTGATCAACTGCAAAAAGCATGCTAATGGTGTAATCATAGTTCACTAAATAATAATCAATTGCTGTATCGTGTACTGCATTCTTCCAGGATCTATAGACATTAATCGTATGTAGTAGGTATAGGCATGTAAGGGAGGTAAGTAGAATCGTCTCCCAAAAGAACATCACACATGAGAATTAGATAAAGACAAAACGAAACATGAACCGACGTAACAATCATAATATTCTCCGCCTCGACACCAACGGAGTATCCTGCACATACTCCTCGTCTCCCCCATCCAGGTCGATATCCTCGTCCGGACTCAGGTCGAAATCCCCAATGGGGCTGATGTGTACTGCGGGAGAGGCGACCGGACTGTGCGCCACGCGCGGCCGCGACTTGAATACGCTGGCGTAGTCCGCTTCCTCGTCGAAGAGCTCATCGCGTGGCGTAGAGGCCCGACTGGGGATGGTGTGTGATCTCTGGGGCGTTTCGAACTGGTTGATGGGGTAAGAAGGCCGAGGTCGGTGGGATCGGAAACTTTCTCTTGATCTGGGTTGGGTGGGTGGTACGATGAGGGACATGGACTTGCGGGTTCGTTCTACGAGTGTGAACCTGCTAGTTCGTTCAGGAGGGGGGGAAGGATCCTTCTCGGGGACTTCGGTGGTTGAGAATGAGGGCACGCTGGGCTGGGGCTCTGGGATGGAGGGTGTTGAAGTTCTTGTGGTGGTTGAGCGGGTAGTGTCTTCGGCCTGGGGAGATGATCTGTTGCTCCCGGCCGCTGAGCTGGAGGATATTGTTGTAGGGTTGCGTAATTTCGAGTCGCTATGAGTATGGCGATGACGATGCGCTGCGGGTCGGCCGTTGATCCGTGCAATGGCCTCATTCATGGAGAAGAGCAACGCCCGGTCGTCTGCTTTGGGCGAGGCGCGTTCCACTGGCTGCCGGACAGCTTTGGAGATGCTGGCGACGGTCAGTGCTTGGTGCTCTCGGAAGACGAGCGGTTGAAATTTGGTTGAGCTTGTGGATTGTACCCGCTCATGTTTGCGCATAGAGGCACTGTACTGGCGCCAGCGCTGGAGCCGGGCACGCTGGCGGAAGACGCGAGACTCCAGATCGACTAGCAGATCGGGTGACGAATTCGCACGGAGGCCATCCACGCTGGAGTCCTTTGCTTTCGCCCATGCGATGTCGAACGGCAGTTCCAGAAAAGCGTCGCTGCTGCCCTGTGCACCACCATCGACAAGGGTATCCGCCCAGTCCTCACCCCCCAGCCAGTTAGCCCTGAGGTCGCGAGCCAGCGCATCTATGTCGGCGCCACTGTCGGGGAGTTGAGGAGGGTTCTCCTTAGCTCGTTCGTCAAGCTGTAGCTTTTTGAGTTCTAGCAATTGAGTAAACTTTTCATGAGTGTCCCGGGCTTTGTTGCGACGCTCGCCGATTTGGTTTAGGGAGACCCGATGGGCAAGGATGAGGGGGAGCATGAGCTGGTAGTCCTCGCGCGTCAGCCCGGAAGCCAATGAAAGCTTCATGGCTACATTTTGCAGTGCCGGATCTGGGGAAGCGGCGAGGGTCTTCCGCAGCACCGCAGTAGAGAAGACGGCCAATAGTTCCTCGAATTTCTCTCCTTTGCAATCATCCAGCATTGACTTGCGAAGAATGGTTTCTCTGCCGAGGTCGCCCTGTTTCTTCAATTCGGCGAGCACACGGAATAAGGCAGCACGCAAATTGACGGACTGCAGGGGCTCGAGCGGAGGGAAGAAGGGCCGGAGTTTCTGCATGCCGTCAGTCGGGCATCAAAGCCACTGAGGGGATAGAACATACATCCCGGGCGGTGTCGGGGTCCCAAAGGGCAACCAGGTGATAAAGAGCCCATTCTATAGCCCTTATACGCTGACGCTGGTTCTGCGACGTGTCTGCGAGGGAGCGGAGAGAGATGCGAGGCCAGTCATCATGGCGATCGAGCTGGAGGAGTTGGAGGTTGCGGATGAAAACGGAGAGGGGAGGCTGAGGGGACCAGTTCGGGGGTTTGGGACGAGGGGTTCGTGACTGCATGGTACATCTGATGCCTGATTAGATAAGAAAGTCATATAGCATTCTAGTTACTGAAGCATACCTGAACAGCGAGACCAGTCGAGGAATTGCACGGACGAGAGGGAGTAACAACAACGGAGAGCTGGAGATCAACAATGAAGAGCAGCAAGTAATGGATGGATCCGCTGGCTGGCTGAAACCAACCAATCCGCTCGACCGCTTTTTCTCTCCCCGCAGTTTCTCTTTCTCCTCCGGTTCCTTCTCCTCTTCGCCTTCTTTTCTTTTTCTTCTCCTCTGCTGTTCGTGCTCGTTGTAATCAATCTCCTTTCTCTACCTTGACTCCTCTCTTCCACTCTCCCCTCCAAACCTCTTTCAACAAAATGGGCTCCGAAAACCCCTCTGATCCCCTCTGGACCACCCAGTCCGGTGAGCAGATTCTAACCCCTCCTCCACCATTCCCCTCCACCAGCTAACATCCAGCTCTTCGACCAGTCCTGGCAAGCCTCCCTCACCCCCCAGAGGAGAACTCCGCCTCTCCGATTCCCTTCTTCCACCTTCTCGAACGTCTCAAGACCACCAAGCGTGAAGGATGGCGCCGCTTCGGCATCAACTCCGGCGAATCCATCTCCGACCACATGTACCGCATGTCGGTGATGACCATGCTCGCGCCGCCCACCCTGGCCTCCCGCCTTAACCTGCCCCACTGCATGAAGATGGCCCTGATCCACGACATGGCCGAATCCCTCGTCGGCGACATCACCCCCGTCGACCGGGTCGACAAGACCGAGAAGGCGCGTCGCGAGGCCGCCGTCATGGACTACATTGCCAACAACCTCCTGGGCGGCGTTCCTGGTGGCATGTTGACCGGACAGGAGATCCTGAAGGTGTTCAACGAGTACGAGGCCAACGAGACTCTGGAGGCACAGTTCGTCCACGACGTCGACAAGATGGAGCTGCTGTTGCAGATGGTGGAGTACGAGCGCGCCAACAACATTGACCTCACGGAGTTCTGCCACGTTGCGAACAAGGTGCAGTTGCCGGAGACGAAAGAATGGGCGGCAACGGTGCTGCAGGAGCGCGAGAAATTCTGGAAGAGTAAGGCGACATGAGCATGATCAGATGTGACACATAGTACGATAAAATGTACGGCGTTAAAGTGATGATTACGACCGTGGACGGTACGGGAATGGGGGGTTTCGGGTCTTGTTCGTTTATTTCTTTTCCATGATACGCATGCTGTGCATATTACATTACACTCCGTGCGAGGCGTTGGGGGAGTGTTTAATTTAGATATTAGCTCCAATAGACCTACACATACACACATACCCTCTATACAATATACAAGTACAACACCGCATAATATACACTCTAACCCAATCTAATCAATCCAAATCCTCTTTCTCCATCTCCCCCGCCAACCTCCACGCCTCCCCCTCCATCTCCTCCGCGGATCTAGCCACCCTCTCCTCATTATCCACCCTCGGAAACCTCGTCCTCCCCCCTTTACCCCCCTTCTCACCATCTCTATGAAAGACATCTCTCAAATCGCCCTCCTCCCCATCCAACATCTCATAAACCGCATCCATCCCACCCTTACTATCCAAATCCCCCCTCTTCCTGGGTATCACATGCGCATGAACATGCGGCACGCTCTGGCCCGCATCCGCACCATCCTGGATAGCAATATTCAGACTCGACGCTCCATATACACGCTCGATCATGCGCGCTACGCGCCGCACGGTCAGGAATAGATCTGAGGTCTCGGTCGGGGTGAGGTCTGTCACGCGAGGAACGACCCGTCGGGGCGAGATGAGGACGTGCCCTGGGAGAATGGGTTTTAGGTTTACGAGGGCGTAGCTGTAGGGGGTTAGGTGGAAGACCTGTTTTGTTTTATTCTTTTTAGTATTTGAGGGGGTGGATATGTATATAATGGGGAAAGGAGGGAGGGCGTACTTGGGTTGTGACGGTGAAGGGACCGAAGTGGATGGGTCCGGCTTTGAGGATTTGGGTTATGGTGGTTGGGATGGACATTGTTGGTGTTGTTGTTGTTGTTGTGGAGGGGGCGGGGGTGGACATCTATGTATATAGGTGGGAGGTTATTTGAGGTATATATGTATGTGTATGGTGTATGGGTTGGTGGTATGTGTAATTGATTGTAGAAGAGAGAGTTGGTTGTGTTGAAGGTGACGATGAGGTGGACTACTTGCGGTGGAGAACATCGCTATCGACATCATCGGAGTTAGACGGAGATACCATGCCATACCATCTATCATTTACAACCACCACCATCTACATCTATAGTACTACAGACATAGCAGTCCAATCCACTCATAAGGGTATCATTACTCGCTCGTATATTACATCAGAGCCTTCCCAACAAACATGCTCACATATTACAACCGTGGTATCGACACATGCCATCATGTATCATGTCAAAAAAGAAATCAGTAGAAATGAATCTGCTCGTCGCTACGCCTCCTGCGCTGCTTCCTGCGCTGGCGCTTCCTGTTCGCTAATTTGCTCGCTCGGTTGCTTCGTTTCGGCCTCTACCTCAGGGTTCGCCTCTATCTCTGCAGGGGCGTCGCTTTCAGGCTTGGCCGGCTCTTCCGCCTCAGCTTCAGTTTCAGCCTCAGCCTTGGGCTCGGCCTCGGGCTCCGCTGTCTCTGGCTTCTCTTCTGATTTCTCTTCTGGCGTCTCTGTTGACTCCTGAGTTGCCTCGTCATCGTCGGCGTGTACCTCCGAAACGGTGACCTTAGATCCGTTGTCGTCAACAGATGGCTCCGGCTCCGGCTCAGGCTCCGGCTCAGGCTCAGGCTCAGGCTCAGACTTTTGCTGCTCCTTGACCGCTGGCGTTGGCTCGGCCTCCTTCGGCGCAGGAGTAGAGACAGGAACAGGGGCAGGAGCAGGAGCAGGAGCAGGAGCAGGAGCGGAAGCAGCCGCTGCGGCATTCGCAGCTGCAACGGCAGCCGTTGCCGCCGCTACAGCCTGCTGTCTCGGCTGCTCGTCGTCCTCTGCGCCTTCGTTGATGGTCGTCACACTCGAGCTGATCGACGGGCTATTTTTGTGACGCCTCGTGGTTGCTCCCGTGCTGATCGACGCTGGCTCCATACTCTCCAGCGACAACGGCTCGTTCTCCTTGCGCAAGATTGTCATCCGACGATTGTCCGTGTGCTCTGGCGCGGCCGGCTGCTGAACATCGACGCCCTCCGCCTCCGCAGGAACCGTGTAATTATCCTCCGGAATGAGACTGTACATGTCGCAGACCGTCTTGAAGAAGATATATAGCCCATCGTGTCCCTCCACCTGCCAGAACACCTCCCGGTGCTGGAACCAGGCGTGCGCAAAGATGCGATACAGCCGTCGGAAGATGTTGGTCAGATGTCTCATGCTGGCCTGTGCGCCGCCGCCCGTCTCCGAACCGAGAGTCAGTCGGCTGGGAAAGTATTTAGGCGACGTAAGGATATTCGTGGCCCAATCGAGGGTATGGCAGCAATAGTCGATGGCGCAGCAGGATTTGGGCGGATCGTGCACGGCACAGAGGTACTGCCACTCGGATGCACGCATCTCGGGGCAAGTCTGGGAGGAGCAGGGAGGAGAGTCGGCGAAGAAGGCGATGATGAGATTGTTGACTTTCATAGTCAGGAAGCGACACAGCTCGTAGAGCCATAGCGACCGGTCGACGCCGTCCGGAGGTTCTGCGAGCTGCATGGCGACATCCCGGCTGATGGGAACTACTGTATCAGAGCCTTCGGGCCGTGTGTAATGATTGTAAAGAGCCTTGAGGTGTTCTTGGAGTTGGAAGGGGGAATCAAGCTATTGCAGAAAGGGGTGGCTGGGTCAGCGGAGCTACTCGGAGACAGCTGTGCTTTGTTTACGAAAACCGTACCTGGGAGAGAGGGATCAGAGGCGGTCCAACAGCCATATCTCCAGCTCTAGTACCCGGACGAATCCTCCTGGTTGAGCCATCCTCCGATGTTTGTGAAGCGCCCAGCAATTGCTCCGTCTCGTGGTCAAAGGACTCGCCGACCGAGGGTGACTTGGGTCCGATCTGGACCTCCGTGAACGGAGGCGGACTAGGCAGACGTGGAGAGGTGGCCTGCGAGACTCCCGCAGTAGCCATAGCGAGAGGATTCGCAGAGTCTCAAATGAGTGAAATCGGAAAGAAGGAAGGTAATGAAGACGAGGAATGTAAATGAGAGACGAAAGGAATTGGAGAAGAACAACAACAAGCTGGAATGAGGAGATAAGATGGAGCTGGCCGGACGGGGATTGGCCGCGATTGTCTGGTTTGCATTGCTGCCAAATGACTGCCGGTGCCCTAAGCCCTAGCGGTTCCTGTTGGGGTAACGTCATTCCCCGACATTCTCCATATCTTAGCATTCATCTGGCATTCTAACTATTCTAGTTTATACTCCGGTCATTTTTCTCCCCAGCTTGCAAAAACACAGCGTTCGATATGGACGACGACGATGCCCCACCCCAGCTGGTTGACATCTCGACCGCCCCCGATGTGGCCCCGCCATCGACGTCACTAGACACGCCGCCTCAGAACCGCGTGCCCATCACGCTTGTGACTGGTATGATGTGATGCCACACATGCAGATCCATCTCCCTTGTAGACCAGCAGCAGAAAAGAAAAGAAAAAAAAAATCTCCCGTAGATCCACATTAACTAACATGTTCCCTCGTGTCAGGCTATCTGGGAGCCGGCAAGACCACTCTCCTCAACTATATCCTCACCGAGAAGCATGGCAAGAAGATTGCCGTGATCATGAACGGTGAGTGACCACCACTATAGCTACAAGATTATTAAATTGCTAAGATAATGTAGAGTTCGGTGACTGTAAGACAACCCATACACCATGCAACTATATAGATAATCACAATTAACATCACCCAGCAACCGACATCGAGAAACCCCTAACCGTCAACCAAGACGGTCAAGAAGTGACCGAATGGATGGAAGTCGGCAATGGCTGCATCTGCTGCTCCGTCAAGTACACCCCCATCCCATGCCCTAGAATCACCCAACCCATCTAACCAACTACAGAGACAACGGCGTCATGGCCATCGAATCCCTAATGGAACGCCGCGGCGCCTTCGACTACATCCTGCTTGAAACGACCGGACTCGCCGATCCAGGCAACATCGCCCCCGTGTTCTGGGTCGACGACAACCTAGGAAGCAGCATCTACCTCGACGGAATCGTCACACTGGTCGACGCCAAAAACATCCTGCACCTACTCGACGAGCCCACGCCCGAAGAAACCGTCTCCAGCCACGGTGCAGAAACCGAAACCGAAACCAACTCCAACCACACGCACACGCACACCGGCCCCGTCCTCTCCATGGCACACATGCAAATCTCGCACGCCGACGTAATCATCATCAACAAAGCCGACCTCGTCACAGCAGACGAACTCGCCACAGTCCAAGACCGCGTAACGGCCATCAACAGCGCAGCTAAAATCCACATCACGGATCATAGCAAAACGCCGAAGATAGAGGGCGTGGTGCTGGATTTGCATGCGTATGATCATTTGGATTCGTTGGATTTTGCTCAGAAGGGACATAGTCATATGGATCCGGTATAGACCCTTTTCCTTCATTTCCTTGGTTTCGTCGTTTACTGATGAATTACTCGCAGTCTATCTCAACCATCGCCCTCACTACACCCCCCATCACCCCGGCCCAAGTATCCCGCGTCGATACATGGCTTCAATCCGTCCTGTGGGACTCCGTGATGCCGCTCGCGGAGGAGGTATCGGGGCCGACGGGATTCGATATCCATCGGTTAAAGGGGATTCTGGTGCTGAGTGATGGGTCGACGAAGATTATTCAGGCGGTGCGGGATGTTTTTGAGATTAGGGATTCGGAGCCGGCGGACGGGAAGAACCAGTGTAAGATTGTCTTGATTGGACGGGGGTTGGGTGGTGAGGATGGTGGGAGGGCGTGGCAGAGGAGTTTGGAGGAGTGGTTGGGTCGGTAGAGTAGAACTACTGGTTGATTAATTTGGTGATGAAGGTATAGTATGTAACGATGACGAAGATGATGAATGTATGTATTGAAGAGTAGAGTAGAGTATTACAGTTGCATACTACTACTACTAGATATGATGTATTATTTATATGGGAAGAGGGACCAATCAAATAGTTCATCCTTTCAGATTAATACAGTTGCTGCTTAGAATAGTATTAACAAACCAGTGTACAAGATAGAAGCGGCGCGAAGTTCAAAAAGTCACAATATCCATCCGGTCGTAAGTCGTTAGTGGGCAGGTAGGTAGAAAGCAGTAAATGAAACGAAATAACAAAACGCCATGTCCAGAAATATTCCCACTGCTCTGATGGCAGCTGGGTTCCCGAGACTGTAATTGCAACTGCAGTAGTGAAAACCTGCGTGAGGGCTTTTGAGGGGATGATCAGCGTGTAGTAGATCAAGCCAAGATAAAACAAAGATCAGAGAGAAAAGCAAACCCCGAAATCATCCAACTCCATATTCGCCGTAATGCCCGCTGAATACTCCGTAGAGCAACGCTTCAAGAGAACTAACTGTACAGTGAGAATAGCAGGAGTGCCACTACCTGCAATGGCTCAACACTCCCTTCCTGTCATATGAACGCCTAAGGCGTCTTCCGTAAATGCTGGATTGATGGGTAAATGGGAGTCGCTCAAATAGGTCGTGGGTTCTTGGAGGCCTTGGTGAGGGTATCCCAAGGTGGAACTCATACTCAGATGCGAGAATTGGTCTGCGTCTGAGTCTATCATTTTCTGGTCGGGAACATTGGCTGCAGGATTAATCGGTAGTATTGAGTGAAGAAGTGAAGAAACGGAACGCGACGGCGCTTCTATCGGCCAATGTTGGTCGTCAATCAGCGCCTGTCCCAGGTCCGTCAAGTGAGCTGGGCATAAATCCGTTGATTGGGTATCTGCTGATGACATTGGAGATTCTTGAGACCGTCCCATTTCCGATAGGTTGTTGGATGAATAGTGATTCAATGATGGCGATTGTTGCCCCGCTACACCGGCAAATTCTTTCGGCATATGATCCGCTTCACAGGGGATTTGATCAACTGCACCGTCCATTGTTCCTCGCGGATAAGGAGGATGAGCGTTGCCGACCAAATCAGGCTCGTCCTCCATATAGCTTGGAACGGTGTTGTGTACTGCATGAGA